ATGATTTTAAATTTGTAGTCGTATACACATTTGTGTCGATAAAGAATCGCTTTGCTCGAAAGTGACAGCAACACCTGCCAGTTATTGTCCCCATATCTTTCTTTTTTTTCTCTTCAGATCCTGAGAAAAAAAAGTAACGGTACTTTCGAAGCCACTTCCGCTTCACCGATATCAATTGTAAATTTCTTTCTTGCTAATGCAGGAAAAGTCTGTAAAAAGTTCCACTCGAGAATGAGAGATAATTATGTTGATATATCTTTTCTGGATAAAAATCCATTCTCTCCATCGGACTAGCAAAAATGGGAAAAAATGCGATAATTTTGAATTGCTCTCTGCATGAAAAAAGCTGATATCAAATGGCACTGGAAAGTTCAATCTTTCAGCGAGCTTTATTATCGAATATATCTCCTTTATCTAATTGGGAGCACGATTCCGTTCTGTATTGAAAGTTACACGGTATTCTTTTTCGTCGCATTTTTACATTATTCCATCTCCGTAATGTTCCATTCATAAAGATTGCGATTGTCTCCTCTCTTTGCCTCTCTGCCCTTTTATCTCGACTTATTCAAGCGGTGACACGATTTCGAATTGAGCCGTACCGGGCCATCTGAATAACGCGTGGTATCGCACGCGCGGGAAATCAGAGACTGTCGATTTACACCAATATACGAAGCATACACACGCGTTTCTCGTGCACGAACAATATTCCTTGGTGTGGTGGTTATCGTTCGGCAGCTGTCCTATCGAAGAAAAGTCTCCGGCGCGATAAGAGCACCGCGAAACCGATGACGGAAAGAAGGGGCGGGAGGGAGGCAAAGAGAATGGAGATAGAGAGAAAGAGGGTGAAAGGGCGCTCACCGTCGTTGAGGTAGGTCAAGAGGTCACTGGCTTCGTGAGAATTTTCGCGCGAGCGGGACGCAGTGCGAATTGAGACCGCCTCTCAAAGAACACGATCGAGGACGTGTGACATCTCGTTCGATATCTCTAATGTGCTGGATATTATACATATAATTCCATCATAGACGTGTCTTTTTATCCACTTTGCCTGAATCACAATTTATACAGCTGCGAATATGACGCTTATCGAGTCAATCATTAATCAAAAGTTGTAATTAAATATATATATGCACGTTTTCCGAGTATATAACATTCTTAGAGCAAAGTCTATTTTATTAAATCGACCAAGTGTAGGTAGTTCTTCTCAATTGCTACTCGATTGTATCCGATCAGATCGATCGGAGATGATTCTGATGTTTGCGGAAAATGATATTTTACGTACAGATGCATTTTTTACCGCGTAATTCGCGAATATTGAAGCGAACGTTGAGTGTGTCTCTCGACACGAGAAAATATTGACACGTACAGTTATCGCGGTATTACTATCGAATCGCGCAAACAGGAGCACTCGATGGATCCGGGCGGGTTTATTAAATCGAACCATGATGATACACTCGCCGCATTAATAACGAAATGGCGAAAATGATCACGCGAAGGTCGACGGTGCGCTTTAGTCATCGCGCGGCAAAAAGCAAACCCCCCCCTCCCCCGCTCGCGTTCGCCGTGTATTATTCAGCGAACACAATTTTATTTGCGCATTAACTCGCGTGTAACACTCGCTAACGCGATCGATTAGGTCGCGGCATTTTGTCGCTCGATTTTTGAACGGTGTAAAACCAATGGGCGCACACGCACGCGCGCACATTCACGCAGACACACTGCGCTAGGTTTGCCAAACAATTTGCAATGACCCGTGGAATATCCATACGGCGTCGGGTCGACGATGCGAAACGAGAAAATCAGATCCTGCCTGATCGATACAACTTTTAATTAGCTCGTAATAACAATGGCTGATCGTCCGTTAATATCGCTCGTTCATGCTTAATGCACGGCTGCTGTCGCGAGTGTTGCAGTATTGAACGCGATCTATTTTTCGTCCGAAGGCGTAATCCGCGTATTACACGTTGATGCGAGGCTCTAATTGAATCGAGGAGGCGGAGGAAAAAGAGAGGGCTATGATATGTTCGATGTAGTCGCGTTAATTATGAACTCTCGTAACATGGAAATATTAATTTTGGGAAGGGAGGAGGGAGGAGAAATGCTTTTCGAGGATATTGCGTGGATGATGTAAATTTTGAAATGAACAGACTGTCAGCGAAATATGTAGCATGATATTTGCGTAATCAGCGTTCCCAGGCTTGTCAAGTCGTCGTTTCAATGAGGAAGTACGTGTCCATAAATTTCACGTTTACGACCTACGCCGAATTAAGATAAGCGCGAATCTCTCGAGAAGAAACAACCACTTGCTGAGTCATCACGCGATTAAGAGACTTATCTGATTTATATCAGCGATTAATTTCGCGAGAAATTCAACCGTATATATCCGTATTACATCTTAAGTTTTCATAACTTTTTAATTTTATATCAAGAAACATTCACGCATGTACAGCTTGAAATAGCATAAATACATTTTTAAGAAAGACAAATTTAATTAAATAATTAAATGAAAAATTTAAATTTAATAATTGTTATTTTTCTCCGATTTTTAAATAAGTAATTGAATTGCATGTAAATCAATTATTTTAATCCATTTATTTATATTCCGTCGCGTTGATTTTTATTCAAATATTTTTAGCAAGATTTCGACAATTTCGTTTCTATTCTCGTCGTTTGCACACCTGCGGATTTCACGGTGGCGCGTCCTTGGCTCACTTCCAGACCGTCGTTACTGAATTCCCCATCGAATGATTGCGATGCGCGATTCGTTGTTTTACCGCGGCTGCAACGTCCCTCTCTCACGCCAGGTGCGTTGGCTAAATTGACGGCGATTAACTTACGCAACGCGTCCCCTCGTTTCCGCGCCCTTCCAAAGTTCCGACTCCGTCGTTACACTTTCCATCGTTATTACGACAGACGCAGAATCGTCGAACGTCCCACTTCACGTTCGGAAAAAGATAATAAGCGCTCTTAGGCGCGTCAAAGAACGAAACAAGCGAAGAAATTTAACGATGCAAATGTATTCATAAGTTTATTCTGTTGCGTGCGTTTATCTTATTTACACGTCGCGAAAAGTTTGCGCTGTTTTTACATCTTCATCGATATTGACGGGAATGGGAGAAAAAAATACAGGTCGCGCGGCAAAAAATACAGAATTATTACTAAAAGCTGTCAAAAGAACGGACATAACAAGAGGGACACGCTCTCGTGCATTAAGGCTCCCGATAAATTGTCTCGTACTCGCCGATTGTTTGCATAAAAAATGCACGTTATAACATCAATGAGATGAGAAGAAAGGGGGTAGAGAGGAGAGGGGAGGGGCAATTTTACACGACCGTGTCGTATTTCTGCGTCGTGCGACTTCGCCGCTTAATATCCGCGTCGCGAACGCGTATCGACCGCGGTGAGTTCTCGTGCGGTTTTGTTTGCGCGACCGCGTATGCCGCACGGGTGTCGGTTTCGCCGGAAGTTTCGCTTCGTTGCGTGTTTCCGGCTATCTGTTGAGATCGGACAATGGTATTGCGCGATGCAAAACATTCGGTTTTTCCCTCCCGCCTTTGTCTCCCCTTTCTTCCTTCGCTCCACGTGCATGTGTTTAGATTAGACGTTTCATTATCACCGATGAAATTAATCACGATGTAAAGATCGCGATTGCCCGTGCGATCGTTTTAAAATATTTAAAATAACATTTTTTAATTACATTCTCTTGGATATAATATTGCGCGGAGTAATCGATAAATTTGATTATGTTTTAATGTAATATAATTATATAATATACATAATTATAGTAATTATATGTAATATCTTATACATATATTATTATGTCTAATTATTTTACTTTTTACCCTACATTACATTTTATTTACAGAATGTAATCTTATATTACATTTTTATCAGTTTTACGACTTTATTACAACTCTGCGCTTTACTCCAATCCTCATTTTGATTAAAACTTTGAGATAATTATCAGCTTGACTTTTCACACATACCATTATACTTTGTTTTTCTTTTCAAATTTATTCCTCAATATTCAACAAAACACATGCAAAGTACATATTTAACTATTGCTTATTAATTAATTAAGAATACTGTTTTCTTTTATAATTAGGAAATTTTTTTTTCCTAATTTTTTCATACTATTTTTAACGTTAAAGAGATACACATTACGAGGGAATTGTTAATTTTTTCGATCATATATATCATATATATGATATATATGATAACCTTTCTCCCTTTTGTGAGCGAATTAATTTACGGTTTTGCATCAGATTTCATTTGTTATGACCTCTCCCAAGCGAGAACTAATTTTTTGCAGAAAAATCTTCAATGCTACCGATTCATTTCTCATTTTGCTAGTCAAAAAATAACATATTTAAAATGGGAAAATTTCGGACGCAAATCCATTTTTTTCAGACGTCATTGATATAGCCGTTGTAATATCGAACATGTCATGAATATCGATTATTGAACACCTTTCATCTTTTGTCTTTGCAGTACTCTGAAATAAATATTGTGTATTTTTGGCATGCACTAGTTAGAAAATATAATCTTTTTCCGATAGAAAACTGCTGCAGATGACTTGTTGGCTTTTATCCTTAAGTCAAGCAATATTTTCCTAATTATCTAATTATACATATTTTAAATATAGTAGAGAATTTTTTTGTATCACCAATATAAATATTTTATATCTATTCTCTCTCGAAGCATATATTGCTTGATATTAAACTTTGTTTTAATATATATAATAAACAAGAGAGAAAAAGAATAATAAATTAATGACATCATATTTATTATTCTATTTTCTCAAGATAATGACATTAGTAAAAGCACAAAATACATAGTCTTTGTATAATAAATATTGTAATAAATAATGCTGCTGTGATTATTTTATATTATATAGATATGGAAGATTGATTTATATTACAGAAGATTAATTGGATGTTTGTCATCCATGCTTTGGCATGCGCATACACTTATACTAAACGAAATTTTCTTTTTTCTTTCAGGTGAGTATTGTGGCGTTCCGGCAGAGTACCGTGAAGAAGTCGTAAATTTTGCAAGTACCCGCGCCACGAGATTACGAGCATTATATCTTCAGGGTAACGTATAGGCTTTTACGCTACTTGTCAGTGAGAGCTCGCTCTTTACGACTTTGCATCATAATCTCAAAGAATACAATTTCGCAGAGCAAGCTAGGAAAGGTCTATAAACACTTCTGTTCTATAAACATTTCTGTTTTATAATAATGTTTATATCGCGAGACATCTCTTATATTGAAGACAGTTATTCCAATAATATCTCTTGCAAGTCAATATCTTATTTTACTTTACGCTGGAAATAGACTGCAATCGTGAGAAATGTTTTAATAAGGGGGAAAGAAAAATATATTCTAGAAAAAGAGAGAGAGAGACTGAGAAAGAAGGCGGAAGAGGAAAAGGAGATGACGTGTCGAAACGATTATCGCAGTTGATATGAGAATAGTCGCGTTTGTTTAGTTGTCCATTGTCGTCACAGGATTACAAAGCGTGCGTCCGTAAATAAAAACTAATTACTGCTGTCAACTTTTATCGTTTTACGCTGACGCGCATTCCGCTTCTAATATGAGTAAACTCGCGCAATTTGCGTCGGTGCACAATGACGCATTGTTCCGCATACCGAGGCGAGAGTTTTTGCATATTTTCTTTATAAAAGGGGCGCCTGATCGGCGAATGTCGATCGAGGTTCGAAGAATTCCATAATACCAAGCTAGATCACTCATCTCTCTACGAAGTTAGCATTCTATTTTCAGAATTTTCGATATAATCGATAAAGTTTAATTTCTGATACGAAAAGCATTCTACATATATAACGATTAAAGGTAAGGGAACATTGATATGTCTTTAGAATGTATTTTTAACGAAAAATAAATTCAATTTTCCAAAATTCATGAAAACATTAATTAAATTTTATTCAAAATTACTTTTTCAAATGTTTTATTCAAATATAAAAAATAGAAATTATTAGATTAAAAAGATGACATATAAAAATAAATAAATATATTGAAAATAAGATTGAAAAAATAAAGAGAAGAAAAAGTTTTATACTTAAAGTATTTAAACTTTTGTTATTTAATTATTTGAGAAGAAAGTAAAATAAAGTAAAATTAAGGGAACTACTAATAAATATAATATTAAATTTAGAGATTTAAATTGATTTCAAAAGAAATTATAAAGAGAGAAACGGATTATGAAAGAATAAAAGAAGGAAAATAGGAGGAAGGGAAGGGAAATACATATATATATTTATATTTATATATATATTTATATATATATTTTCCTTTTAATATAAATGCATTTATATTAAAAAATGGTTATATAAAATTAAAAATTTTATTAAAATTTTAATTAAATAAAAAAGTTTTCTTAAAGTTGGAAATAAAATAAAATTTATATTTTTAAAAGAAAATTTAGGTTTTAAGGTTGTAGAAAAATGAGAAAAAAGGTGATATAATTTCTAATATCAAAGAAAATTTTTCCGATAATGATTAAAAATAGAAGGTAGATTTAATGAAAGAAAGACATATTTTCTTTTATTACATATTCTTATTACAAATATATGATGAGAATATCTTCGAGTTCCTGTACTTGGAGATTTTATCGCGACAGGCTATCTATGTAAATTCCCAATCCTATTTCTCCCCCTGCGGTCATATCCCTACGCATCGTAGTAAGGGGCAATTAATCTCGCAATTAATATCGAATGTTATTCACCGCAAGGGTTATCCGAGAGGTTATTCTTTAAGAAGGTAACGCCGTTAGATGTCTAACAAGCGTCTTCGGTGATGTGGCACCTGCAGGAATATGTAATGAATCGTTGGCGAAGTACTGTAATTCCGCGCACGATGAATCTTGGATAATTTATCGAGGAACTTGTTACGAGTTCTACGAATAGACGGGTACATGACGATTGATGTAGAGCAAAGTCGTCAATTCGATGCGCATCGGATCGAAGATTTTACGATCGCTCGGTATACGTTCAAATATTTCCATAATCTTGGAGCGATAACGAATCATACTCGGGAGTCAAATCGACGCTGAATTTATCAAAGAAGTCATAGACGAGGCAAGCCGCGATCCTTCCACTCTAAACAGACTGCGGCCTCGCGCTGGTTAGAATCAAGCCGTCGTTTTCTCTCTCGCGGAATTTCCGAAATCTAAATAATTCACTGACCGATTCCCTAGAAATCCATCGCGCGTAGTATTTCTCTAAGATTCGCGCGATGTACCGTCGTGTGTATCATAATTTATTGTTCGAGATTCGTGTTACACTCGACTCGAGTGACTCACGCGATCCCTCGGCGCGATCTGCAGGCCGGCGATAATTCATCGCGTTGTGCGAGTTGCAAGGTGTACGTACCTCCCGCCGGATCCTCCTCTCTCGGGGGCACATAAATACGTAAATCGTTGCGCGCTGCCTGCAGTATTTCCGGATTAATCTCGCGCTCGTCGCTTAATACGTGCTTAGGATACCGCGGCCGGCGGCTGCTCCTCATGCAAATTATACGATAGCGCAAAAAGGCGAACGGAAGAGTTGATACGCCCTGAAAACGAAAAATTCCAAGCTCCTTCCTTTCCTCCTAAATAATGCTCTCTGGCGTATCGAAGAATGTTTGCTTCCTCTTATGACGATCTTGGTGATTTTCTTCCACAAATGTATTTTACATTAAAATTGATAGATCAATTCATATCTACATTTCCATGGAATTTATAGCATGTTGGAAAATGAGACTTATGTTGTTTTAAAATTATTATGTATATTTTTCTTAATTCCTTTTCGACGTTTCTTATTACTTGAATATAAATTAGGAGAAGTTAAAATTACATAATAATATTTTTAATCAGTCATTATCGAATTAAGAAGATGAATAGGTGGAATAAAAAAATTCGCGCACGGGTCTCGCTGTATGGGGTAAATTTTCGCATTAGGGTTGTTGCGATCAAAGGATTTGTGGGCGTTCGTTAATAAAGAAAATCGAAGGTCGCGTAGAGGGAGACGAATATATCCCCGGACGGTTGGCGCTGTATACAGGGAAAAGCGGCACCTACGCGATACGTGCCGACATTCTAAAAATACGGGCTTATTTTAGCGAGAAGAGGGATGTGTGTACCCGTGTGAGAGGACGTTACACGGCTAAGTGCTATACGGGCGGGTTTAGAGCTACGGCGGAGAGGAAGGTCACAGTGCGAGTTGCGCGCAGAAAAGCTCGAACGAAATCTCGCGTTCGCGAATATCGTCGCGAGACGCATTTGACGCGGATTTAAAAAAAGAAAATATAAACGATAGGATCGCGTGTACGCGTTAGACGTCTCGTCGTCGCGAGTTTACCGCACGTTTACGTATTATTTAACCTTTTTCCGTTTTTATTAAACGCGCAATTAAATTTATTTCACCCCTTTCCTTGATTTTAATTACGAAACCCGGCGCTTTTTTCTGCAATTTACGTCTGCGCATAGCGAATGAAAAAAAAAAGCTAACGACCGAGGGGGCGAAGAACCGCGAAAAGTCGCGACCATCTTTCGAGTCGGACAACGATATTGATCGTGCGGAAGGTCGCGTGCGTGCACGATTCTCTTGTCCCCGTCTGTCAGCGCGTGCGGCGCCGGGCGTCGGGCGCCGCGACGCTTTCCTCTTCGACGCTGAAGAAAGAAATGGGAATGGAAAGGCGCGTCGCGTCGCGCTGCGTCGCGCTGTTTAATTATTTTCTACCGCGGCCTAGACATATGAGGAAAAAATAAAATTTCCCCCGACCACATGGCTGCGTTCTCTAAAGGTCGATAGGCCGAGAGGAAATTTTCTCCTCGACGTAATTACGTTTCCGATAAGAGGAAAAAGATGCGTGCAGCTTTAATAAAAAAAAAAAAAAATATAGCAAGCATCGACCGTTTTAAATCAAAAGCAGCTTTGATAGCTTCACTTATTGAAATTTTATAAGCATTTTATCAGCTTATATCACACAACTCGTCTTTTATATATATATAAATGTATTATTTTTAACATATTTTGAGTAACGAAATATATATGTATGAAATTTTTTAGAGAATTTTAGAAAAAAAAAACTTACACCTCAATTTTTAATAAATACTTTTTTTCTCATTTTTTTTACATACGATCAAAACTTGATAAAAGTACTGCAACTGCTCTTATCCAATTTTCGATCGTTGGAATCTCGCGTCGTTAACGGACGCTGATCTCGTTTCCGGCTGTTCGGCTTTCTCGCCAATCAGTGCGCCACGCTAATTTTAGCCTCTATCGATTCCCACCTGGTAGAATTCGGGCTGGCCTTTCGTCCGCGATAGTTGATGCTGCGTTTAATAATTTTGACGAATAAATTGTGTACATCGCAGAAGATCAAGAATCATTTATCGCATTATAAATACCTTGCGCGCGAGTTTGATGTCTTAAAATATATTAGATCTTAAAGATCATGATAACATCAAAGTTAAAGTCTCGGAATCTTGGGACCTTGAAACTTTGACGCGAATTGACGGCAACTTGGTACCGCGGAGACTTTGAAACCTTATAGAAGCTTGGAGCTTCAATAGATTCAAAGGTTACAACACTTCGAACGATGAAACCTTGTAACAATGCTAACTTTCGGCAATTTCAAAAATTTCGACATTGTATATGCACATGGATGACGAAAAAAGGCGAACCTTTATTTGAAGAAAAAAAAAATAATGGTAATCGCACTATTTAATTTTTTTGCAAACGTCATATTTATCGTAGTTTATTCGAAACATAAAGCAATGCAAAGCGTAAATATTTTACCATCGCTGGGATTTTAACAATATTACATGTATTTCTGCAGCGGATTGATAGCATTTAATAGGCGCCTGTGTAAAAGACGTGTCTGTTGCAGTAACGTCATTTTCGCTGTGAAAACCGTCTCGGCGAACAATATGGGACGTTGCGTTATGCCGCAAATAAGCGAGAGAGCCGGACTCCCGTTTAACATTATAAATATCGGCTATATGTACCCGATATGTATATCGATCGATGTCTCTGACACAACGTGCGTCGTTGTAAACAACCTCACCGCAGTGAAACGAGTCAGAAATAA